CAAAAACAAGACCGCTGTGCTTCCCCACCCACCCTACTCACCTGACCTGGTCCCATGCGACTTTTTCCTGTTCTCCAACAAACTAAAAAACGCGCTCAAAGGAAAAACATTTGCCATCATTCCAGAGATAGAAAAAAAACGACGGAGGAGCTTATGAGCATTACGGAAAAAGCGTTCCAGGACTATTTCAAAAAGTGGAAGTGTATATGCTGCGGAGGAGACTACTTTGAAGGGGACCCCGACAAATAAATTGTATGTGAAGTATTTTTTTTTGTAATAAATAAAGTTCGGGAACTTTTTGAACAACCCTCGTATTCTTATGTTTCTTCTTATTGAAAGTAAAACTCCCAATAATTTAGAATATTCTTTATAGCGATAAGAATAATATTAACTATATGTATTCTTAAATCCTGTGAAATATTGTTAAATAATTTTGCTTTTATTTTTTATAAAGCAGCTGCAGTGTCCGTATGAAATTTAATAAATAGTAACAAGATTTATTAATTGAAAGAGCCGGGAGGGGACCCGGAAGAAGAAAATGTCTAGGGCCCCAAAATGGGTTAATCCGGCCCTGATATTTATACGTAATTACATATTTTGAATGCAGAAGAACATTAAATATTGAAATCGAAAAACAAAATATACTTTCTATTCAAATTTGCTGAAATTAAACTCTCGTATAATATAATTTAAATTAAATTTTAGAGTTTTGAAATTTTATATTGAATGGCTTTTGAATCCGTTGTGTTGGTTTCCTTCAATTTACTCCATGACTAAAGTGGGAAAGAATTTCAAAAGAAACCTTGACATAATCTACCAGTTCGACGAAAAGGTGAACCCAATTAGTTGAAATGTAAAAGCGTATGTTTAAATTTAATTGATTTATGTTTTAATTAATGCGTAGGTGTTCAAGAGAAGAAAAGAAAATTTCGCGAAAAACCAGCAACGACACTTAGATGATGATTCACAAGATGTAAAAGAGCCAAAAATGAAAACTATACGGTGTTTAATAGATTTACTGTTAGATCTTCATGTCAACCAATGTTTAATGTCCGAAGAAGACGTAATCAGAGAGATGGGAGGCTTCATTTTTGCGGTATGTATAATTTTTTAAAGGTATAATAGAAACTAATCTTATAATCCTGCACGCATGTATTTCAATTCTATGGTTTTTATTATTGCATTATTATTAATTAAATTATTATGTAAAACTTAATTCACGAATAATGACAATTAACATTCATTTCAGTTAATTTAAAATTATATTTGATGCAAAACTCCAGTGAAATTTATTAATGTATTAATACTGAGTAATATCTAAAATTCAATTAGGAGGTATCCGGCATATAAAACAACATTTATAAAATTTTACTCTCTTTATTTAGAAATATTTTGTGAAAATAAAAATCTATAGGTATCGCTATTTTTGTACGTTCGAAATTCTTATATTTAATTAAGTGGTAGGTCACTTTTCTCATTTCACTTGATAAATTTTTTTTTGTTGAAAACTTGAATTTTTTCTTTAAAAAATACTAAGGTTTTTTAAAAGTAAAGTAGAGCATCGATTATCCGACTCAATTGGGGACTGGGGTTGGTCGGATAACTGAAAAAACGGGTAACCGAAAAGTATTAAAAAATACATTATTAGTAGTGATGTAACGAATATTCGGTTACTATTCGGTATTCGGCCTATTCGGCCTATTCTTCACTATTCGGCCGAATACCGAATATTTAATCACTATTCGGCCGAACACCGAATACTTGAAAACAAAATAAATAAATAACAAAAACACAGTAAATTAATCATTTTGGTATTTAGATTTAATGTTATCGAGTTAGTGTTGTTTGTTTATATATATTTATAACTTGTAACATGCACAAAATAAAAAAGAAAATAATATTAGTCACATGTATTCACAATTTATAATTACAAAGATCAGCACACGTACACGTCTATCGTTGGAGAATCCTCGCACATCTGAGGGTCTGACCCTGCCTATCCTTCTTTTTAAGCGCTCGTCTTTGCTCTTCCCTTTCTCTTTCCTCTATCGCTCTAATCCATGTATGCCTGTGCATACATCATAATACGCGCTCACGATACTTTCGATTCGTCACTTTTCCGTCGTAGATTTCCCATTTTACAATTACGTGACTAATAGCCTGGTGATTACGGAGAAAAGAGACAGATAGGACGTCGATATAAGTCACAGTTATGATTTCACAGATTCGAGACAGCTTGGTAGCCCGAACGACCCCAGGCTTTCTCCCGTGCACGCTAAGTGACTTTCATTACAAGCATTTAGCTGTCCGAAGTCTATGACAACGATTGTTTGGCATTGACGGTCGCGAATTTCGCGCCAATAAGCTGCCTCGACTTGTTCGATTATGTTAACTCATATTTAACTCATATTTATTTTCACATTTTCACTTCGCGGTCCTTCTCTGTTCTTTTTCCGTTATTTACACGTGTAGATCATTTCGTTGTTATCCACATTTGATATCATCATTTATCACATACTGCCATGACGCTCTTGTCTGTCCACTACAACTGTCAACAATTAACGCGATTGGCGAAGCATAGTGACAGCGAGCCAATAGTGAGCAGGGTCCTTGCCATAATGCGGTTTGCGAGCCAATTTTCGTACGTGCGTTAATCAAGCTGAATAGTTTGGCCGAATATTTGGCTATTCGGCCACGCTCCTGGCCAAATATTCGGTATTCGGCCTGAGGCCGAATATACTATTCGTTGCAACACTAATAAATACCAATAGATAAAATTTATGTAGTATAATCTTTTAATTATTTTTATTTAATTATTTACGTGCATTAATCAAGCCGAATAGTTTGGCCGAATATTCGGCTTTTCGGCCACGCTCCTGGCCGAATATACTATTCGTTACGACACTAATTATTAGTACTGTACATCCCATGTAATTAGTATATCGCTCTTAATCTACTTCGCGTTGAATTTTCATCGATGTTAAGCCTAACAAAATTTTTTTTTAAAATAATAATCGTCGCTATTGTATCATTAAAAATTATTTTTAAATTATTTTATTGCTCACGAAACAAACAACCGCTCATAATTAGAAAATTAAGCCTTGTTTAAATAATGGCCTCCCTTTCATGGTTGAGCCAGTGTTGCCAGCTGAAACACGCAAAAATTTAACAAAAATAATATTAAAGTAGCCAAGACATACGGGACATTCCGATTTTCAACGCGAGTGTTGAGTGTTGAAGTCAACAATTTGACGTCATCAACGACGTTCCAATTCGAGTACGAAGTGCTTAGTTCCCATAATTCCATTCTCAGCAAGATGGATTCCATTCAAATGTCGCACCAATTACCCACAATTCATTGGAAATTAGCAGTCAACATGTCTGTTGAGTACTGAGTGTTTGAGACAGCGCTGACAACAACGCCACTTCAACGTTGAAAAAAGGAACGATTTTTAACGAACGTTGAGATCAGCGCTGTGTCAGCGTTGAAAATTGGAATGTCCCGATAGCCAAATATTGTAGCGCCACATCACTAGCGGATATTTTAAATCTGCCGACTAGAACGGTCGGTTAGCCGATGTGACGGTTGATCGGGGATCCGATAATCGATGCTCTACTGTACTCAGCTTTTCCTAGAATTTCAGCGTTGTACAAAACACACTCGTAAATCATTCAGATCGATAACAGTTTGATACTATAGTATACGATTAAGTCAAACTATAACTGATAGAGTACATATTATGTGATTCGACTGGAAAAGTCGTCAGCCTCAATTATGATACACTCGTAATCAAATACGAAGACGCAACCTTATGATATTTTCGTGAGAAAAAATCTCTTTTGATGGTTTCAACAATTCAATTTCATTTTGAGCTGGGTGAATTCACGTTTTTCAAGTAGAATTTTAATTTTTAATTGTTATCGGTTTTCTTATCAACGTCTAAGATTCTTTTGATCAGAATTTTCCACGTAGAACTGACATCGTAAAATATGGCTTCATGAAATATATTTAAAAAATTCTGATTTTTAACATTAAAATTTGTTGTTTTTCTTCTATATTTCTTTCTGCCTTTTTGGATTTTAAAATGTTCTTTTTTTTTATACAACTCGTTGTTTCACCATATTCATATTTGTAGCAGCCGTGTGATACGGAGATAAGGTCTGTCTAAAAACAACCCGAAAATGACCATTTGCTTGGTTTAGTGACTACGAATGTCTTCTGCAGTCTAATGAAAAAAAATTAATGAAAAATTATTAATAATTAATATCTAGTGTCTTATTCAAAAAGAAATGTCAACATTTTACTTCAACTTATTTTAATATCAGGGTTATGATACATCCTCCCACGTTATGTCCTGGACTCTATATTTCCTGGGAAGATTCCAAGAAATACAAGACAAAGTGTATCTGGAATTACAGAGCATTTTCCAAAATGACATGAATAGAATTATTACAGTTGATGACGTGCTCAAAATGACGTATTTAGAATGCGTTATAAAGGTAACTTTTCAATTTTTTAAAATACAGTGGTAGCTCAGGATACGAACGCCCCAGCATACGAACTTTTCAGGATACGACACGAAATTCGAACATATTTTTGCTCCACGATACGAACAAAAACTCACCATACGACGTCACATCAGTTCGCAGCGCCATTTTTTATTCACTTCTGTTCATCGGTCTTGGTCCGCGCGTTTGCTTCGTCCTGGAAGGATCGCGCTCGACAAAGGAAATCTCGAGGTATTATCAGAAAGTGACTGATTTTATTGAAAAGAAACATCCTAAAAAAGTTCACACTGGTCGTATTGCTGCTCGGAGTTATGACATTTGCCTAAGTCATTTTAGAAACATTTTAAAATGTAGGCAAAGCCACACTTCTTTGGATAGATATATTACCAAGTGACCTCTATCCAGTGAAACTGCTAGTGGAAGTGAAGGAAAGAAAGCAAACAAGCAGTGAATAAAAAATTTTAAAAATATATGAAACAGAAAAGATTAAAAAATTAGTGTTAAGTTATTTTTAAGTTATTGTTGCATTATGTTATGTAAGTTAAGTTTTAGTATCATTTCCCTTCTCACTCTCTTCCGCCACCAGTTTACACATCCACCGTCGTCTATCCTGAGACGTAAAGTGCAAATGAAACTGCAATTTTTTAAATCAGTTATTATTCTATTATGGTTATTTATACATTTACAACTACAAAACGCATTTTCAGTGTTTTCCTTACTATAGTTATTTTTTTTAATGTACAACTTAGCTTTAATTTGAGTGTGTTTTTCGTGTTGGAACGAATTATTTGGTTTTACGTGTAATCATATGGGGAAAAATGATTCACCTTACGACATTTTCAAGATACGATCTCAGTTTCGGAACGGATTACTTTCGTATCCTGATGTGCCACTGTATACTGTATATAAAAAATAGTTTTACAGAATCCTACACAAAACTTTTCAGGAATCGATGAGAATCTATCCGCCTGTTCCTATCTTTGGAAGAAAAAATCCGTATGAAATAAAAATAGGTCAGTTGTATCATATTAGAATGTGTTGCTTCTATTGATAACTTTTATTTTAATCGTTACTTTACTATTATGCCAATAAAACAGATGATTATATTTTGCCACCAAAATCTACTATTTCAATTTGCACCTATGCCATTCACCACAATCCTTCTGTTTATGAAAATCCAGAGGTGTTCGATCCAGATCGTTTCCTGCCTGAAAACTTTAAAAAACTCCATCCTTATGCTTTTCTGCCGTTTTCTGCTGGTCCACGAAATTGTATCGGTATGTGATTCGTTTATAAATTAAAAACAGAATTATTCTACTAAAATGATTTATTTACAGGAGGTAAACTTGCGATGGTTGAAATGAAAACAGTTTTAGCAAATGTTCTTCGAAATTTTAAAGTTTACTCTTTGGATTCTCAAGACAAAATCGTTACTTCTTTTGAAGTACTTTTGAGCCCGATATCAGGAATAAGAATGCGTGTAGAAAAGAGATAAACTACTCTCATATTGTCCTATCTTAATAAACGTTTATTACAAATTTACATACACATTGGCCTATAATCTAGACAAACACGTATCTAAATGACATTTAATCTGTTGTTTACGGTATTAGACAAGTAAAATTTGTTGTATTATGATTGGTATCTTGACAGCTATCAAAGTTGTTGTACGTATTATAAATAGTCGTTCATAAATTGTAATTCATAATAAAAGTCGTAAAAATAAAATTTAAATGATTTTCGTTTTCTTCAGTTTAACGTGATATTGTTCGAAGTAAAATACTTTTTAATCCAATATATAGATTTGTATGAGTTGTATATAATGTAGTAAAATTACGTTTCTCAAGTTCTGTCTATATAGCAGGGCCACTGAACTAATTTTGTTGCAAAGAGGAAATGACATCAGCGTGTGGTCCAAGCAACTCGAGATCATTGAAATTAGAATAATTTTTATAAAGAATCTTTATAACAAATTTTTTATAAAACGTTTTTCTGTTTAATACGTCGCTACAACGCAATGACAGTAAATGATCGCGAGCGAATATCTCCGAAACGGATGGCTTTGCTAGTGTAAGTTCGCCGATTTTGGGGGCAATACGTTAATTGCTCGTCAGGAAAACCTAGGGTCAAACCGTATGTGGGTGGTGGCGGTAGGAGACAGAGATGACAAGTGTCTTACACGAAAACCGTTTATTTTGACATGAAGTTAACTTACATATTATGAATAACAAAAATTGGGAATGTTGGCCGGCAGGTGCTGTTGAGTGCCCCG